AGAGGGTGGTAGGGGTGGTAGGGGCGGTAGAGGTGGTGGTGGTGGTAGAGGGGGTAGAGGGTAAGGGGTGGAAGGGGTGGTAAAGGGGGGGTAGGGAGTGGTCGGGGGGGAGGGTGGAAGTGGTAGAGGGGGCTGCGCAAGCAGAAAAGCGAGCGTAAGCGAGCATTTGATGCTTGTATATATAAGTTATTATATTCTTTTTTAGAACACTTTTCAATGAAAATTCTTGAAATATTAATAATTAAAGTTCATTGAAATAGGTTTACAGAGACGGGATATGTCTAGCGCATTTTCTATTTTCTCACATCACAGTATAGTAATCATAATATTTTATATCATACAACCACATAAATTACATTTTGTGCAATTTTCGTCTTATATGCGATTTTCTACATGGCGTAGACTTGGGCAGAAGAGGGACAGGGCGGGATGTGTGATCAAAGCGCAGTTGGCACACGGATAGGTAAGAGAGAACACTGCGTGCATAAGAAGAAAGAGAACCTTCAGGGCGGGGAATTATGATATGAGCAACGGAACAACGGGTAGTAGAACAAACAAAGTTAATGAAGAAAAGGAGGAACTATTAAAGGACGTATTTCAATAAGCACGCGGTGAAAACAAGAAGTGGGAAAATTAACGAAAGGGGGAGGAAAAAAATCACAAATCAATATCAAAATCGAAACACGCAAGCAGGCAAAAACCAAATCTGAATATGCCAACAGAATCAAAAAATAGGACACTTCCCATTCCCACAGCGGGTTTCAAATAACCCAAGAATATGATCAGTGCCACAATGAAGGAGAAGTGTAACAAACAATTTGGCAGCAGCAATTTAGCAGCAGACATGGGCAAAACGGAGATTTCCAATCCACCTGTCCGATCAAAAACAAGAAGTGGGACAAAATGAAAGAGCCATACACAGGTATAGATGGTTTTTAAATAATAAAAAAGGGGAGAAGAATCAATGGTCATGGTTCTCCAAGACAAAAAAGGAGACGGGCATGGAGATTTAGCGGAATTGGGTCATAGATTTTCGAAGGCAATTCTAATGAGAGTAGGGAAAGAGAATACAAGCGCAAAATAGGAGAAGAGGGTATTGGGGATATCATGAAACGTAGTAATAAGTGTAGAGCAAAAAGGGGACGAATCACAAGTCCGGAAAAGAGATAAATAGATAGATAGATAGATAGATAAGAGAGCTGATCGCTCTCAAACCTCCTCGTCTTTGATGCGGGCGCTTAGGCAACTAGGGCGGCCAACTAGGGCGGCCAACCAACGTTGTCATTTTGAAACTTAGGGACCGGTTTTCTTCTCGCGTTATTTGTAGTTTTGGATATTCGGGTTGCCCCTTGAATCATGCGCGGCTCTTCCATGTGGTTCGGATCCAGCTTTGCGGGAGCTATCGAGAAAAGGTTAGCGAAACAAAGTGTCAATAAAATCAAAACAATAAAGTATAGGTGTATATTCAGAGATGAATTCGACGATGTATTTCTGCAAGGGGAAATAAAAATAAAAGCAGGAAAGAAGGCTAGCATTAAACTAACCTCTCGCAACGGCGCTTTTCCAATCATTTGAGTTGGTGGCCTGATGCAGGCTGCTGGGTATATAAGTTGCGCTTGCCGAGCGCCAGAGATGGTCTGACGTATCCGATAAGAAATTGGTTGTCATGCGACCTGAGAAGATCGATGTTCGGCCGCGGTTGCGTTTTGATAATATAATCTCGTCAAACAGCGTAACTCGGGGATCTCTGGATGAAAGAGATGATTGTTCGCGCTCGCTGATAAACTCATTGAACCCTGCGAAGAAATGTTAGAATTATAGATTTAGACAACATCAGTCGTGGCTCTTGGCGAGGGGCAGGTTTGGATACTAATATATAATTGCGGGTGTCTTATGTCCAACATACCTTGCGTTTGTTGGAGTATAGTCATGTATTCCGCGTGCTCGTGTGGCAAGCTTTTGAGAAATGCATCCATGTTGAAAGTGTAACTCATACCGGCCTTTTTCTTGTCCCCCGTTGCAGGTCGGAGAAACTTCTTATATGTGTAGAGCAGACTTGCGAAGCACCGGACAAATGCGGCACGGACCTGTTCAGGATTGAACGCAGCTGGGCATACGAGGGTAATCTGGGATGCACAACGGGTATGGACAATTGTGCTACACGATGAGCATTTGTACATGCCTTCCTCGGCCTTTTCGTCACATATCGAACAAGGAGTCCTGTCATCCCATGGTTGTAGTTGTAGACAGTGTCCCTCTACCATCGTGGTACCAGCAGGGTTACGTAGTGGTTGTTGGGACGAGTTCGGCATGATAGTCGACGCTGCCACAGTGGATTGCGCATATATGGATGGTGCATAAACAGATGTCCCGTTGTCAGTATTGATAGTTGATATAGATAGGCTAGAGGTATGGCTGAGGAATGGAGCACTAGGTCGCCTGGGTATACTGGGCTTTCTGTCACCGAACGACGAACTTCTGCGGGAACCGGCATCGAAATGACCTGATCTCTTCTCCCGCAACGATGATTGGAGGGCAAATCCTGAATCGTTGCGAGATATAGGTGTAGGAGGCAAAGTGGGGAATTTATTTGAGGTCGGAGAAGAGCTGCCAGAAGCTTTTGGGGAGGGCGGAGTGCCAGCCTTCGATGTTGAGCTTGTTGTCGGGCGGTCATGCCCCCTAGAAAAGGCTACATCATTCCGAGCGTTTAAAAAGACATTAAAAATTGGTGAAGTTGGAGAGACGGAGGGATCCTGGCCGAACGCCGTAGAATTTACGCTCACGTATTTAGCGAGTTGAGTGGGCGGCGCCCTAGGTGAGAAAATCGATTGGTTTTCGCCAGGAAATGAGTCGAATGGATAAGTTTCAATTGCATAGGAAGGGGCTCCAGGGTGAACTCCGTATCTATTATGGAGAGGAGCAGCCATTTGAAGGAGGGATTGTAGCTTGCGACGATGATGGCGAGGTAAAGGAGTAGGTCTCGCCGTGCTTTCGATCTCATTTTGGTCGAGGTCTACAAGTACAAAGTCATCAGAAGGAAGCTCCGCCTTTTCGTACCTCCGCTCAATTCCCACAATATAGGGGCAAGGCGCTTCGAGTGCTTGGATAAGCCGGGCAGGTAGGATAGGGATAAAGACGCCTGTCCATTGAAATGGAAAGAGCAGATCAACGAGGGCTTTGCTTGCCAAGTGCAACATGGCAGCATGAGATGACAGGAGAATTATACGGGATTCAACAAGGATGTACTGCAGTTTAGTTAGGCAAGGAATTCAGGAAAGTTTGTGTTTAGAACAAGGCTTGACTATAAACTTACTTCGAACAAGATGATTATATTTGAGATTGAAAGCGAGCGGAAGAGTGCATACAAGTCGGTCTATGTTTCGGTCAGTCAAAGTCTTGAACCAAGTGGGATTTACCATGCCACATACATTTCGAGAACCAGGCAATTCATTGATCGCTTCCTTTCGGGCAAAAGACGCAATTCTCGCACTGCGATCTCAACTTGGGTCTTCGAAGAATAAGGGGCTAAAGGCTTCGGTGCAGA